TGAAATTATTTAATATTTGGCTTAATCTTTGAAATTTTAACCTTTGGTTTTTCCTTGAAAAGATGATTTATAAATATGTTTATAAACTATAAATACAAGATTAATCTAAATGAATAAGAACCATTAGATGGTAGAATAATCTAGAATATCCAAATATATTCTTTGTGTATTTACTCAATTTATAAACTTATGTAAACCCTTTTTAGTATATTCTTTTTTATTCTATCATATAATGGTTGATATGCAAGAAGATTAATTTTGTGTTTATAAATTACAAACATGCTTATATTATGAAGTGAGTTATATCTTGTTATAAAAGATAGATTCATAAATAATTAATTTGGAGATCACTTATTGTGCATAACTTTATTATATTTAGTTTTTGGATTGATGCAAAATATGCTCTTCATTAGTTTTGCATTATAAAGATTTGACTTATAGAAGTATTAAGAAGGATATTATACCATAATTTCTTTTTGAGCATAAAATTTGGAAATAGGGTTTTTCAAGCTTTTGATTCTTTAAGTTCTTATAATCATTAATTCATTTTTTAAAAGTTGTTGAGGAAGGCAATTTGTTGATTATCCTTGCTTAATTATTATTCATGTTAGATGATTTGCCATTCTTTAGGATAATGGATTGTTATTCAATGGTGGTTATGCATCTTTATTAATGGAATGACTTACAATCTTTTGTGATGGTAAATTGTTATTTTGATAGCTTTTGGCTTTGCACATTACCATATGTTATTTTTGGTGTATTGTAAATTAGTTTTTTGGGTTTAAAATATTGGTAAGATATTGCTAAAGCATGCTGTAAGCAACCAAAGAGAACGACTTGAGAGACGATCCATGGGGTTCAAATATAGAGGGAAAGGGCTCATGAATAAAAAAGAGTGCACCCCTTTTTCCAATTGGTTAAGGGTGTTGGGATACTTGGGGTTAAGCATCCCTGGGTTTGAATAGTACTGGGCTGGGTGACCTCCCGGGAAGTCTAAACTCAGAAGTTTACATTTAGTATCAGAGAGGTTTTAGGTCCAACTCTGTTGGTTGGCTAAGGGAATCACACCACATGTTGAGAGGTTTTAGGTCCGACTCTGTTGGTTGGCTAAGGGAATCACACCACATGTTGATTGACATCTGGGTGGTCTAACTTGCTCCTACTGGGCTCGACCCGAGGGGTACATTTAGTATCAAAGGGGTTTCAGGTCCGACTCTATTAGTTGGCTAAGGGAATCACACCACATGTTGATTGACATCGACCCGAGGGGTACATTTAGTATCAAAGGGGTTTCAGGTCCGACTCTATTAGTTGGCTAAGGGAATCACACCACATGTTGATTGACATCTGGCTGGTCCAATTTGCTCCTACTGGGCTCGACCCGAGGGGTAGGGTGTCAAGAGAGCGAGGCTCTCGGGAGAGCTGCGGCTCTCAACTTCCGTTCACGAGGGCATGAATTTGCAAAGAAGCGTGGTGGATTGTAAGCAACCAAAGAGAACGACTTGAGAGACGATCCATGGGGTTCAAATATAGAGGGAAAGGGCCCATAAATAAAAAAGAGTGCACCCTCTTTTCCAATCGGTTAAGGGTTTTGGGATATTTGAGGTTAAGTGTCCTTAGGTTTGAATAGTATTGGGCTGGGTGACCTCCCGGGAAGTCCAGACTCAGGAGTTTACACATGCTTAACCAACTCTAATTCCTTTATATTATTGACTAAAATTTATTTAAATTACCTAGATTGGTATTTTGTATGAATGGGTGTTTGTTAGCCTTGCAATATTCATTCTATTCTGTTTATTGTTGTTAAAGTTGGTTTTGATAAATTATGATGTTATTTTTTTCAAATGATATATTTACAAATATTTTACTTGTCTAATCAATGATATTTTATGTTATTTAAGCTATATTTTGTAAATTATTTTTCAAGTTTTTTACAATATTTGGTAGTTAGATATTATTATTAAGTTTCTTGATGATATATTTACTATTAAATTTTGTTAGATGGTTATTCCTATATCTTCAAAATATAATAATCTTGGTGGTTTTAAGCTAGAGTTTGAACCTATATCACTCAACACTTCCAAAATCCCTAACCTTAGTAATTTGATTTATTAGATGATAATTTAATTCAAATAATTTTTATTTTAATATTCACTAATAATTTGGTCTCTAAAATATCTTTGTCTATGACTTCAATATTGTCCATCTATTGATCTTTATGTTTAAGCTAGTATAGGTAAATTAGTTTCAACACTTCATGTGTATAATGAAATCTTTAGTCATGGGGTAACTATTGTAAACTGATTAGATAACTCACTTGATGTTCTTTATTCCGTCAAAAGGGTGTGGCCATATAAAACTTTAACAACCAATTTACAATAGTTTATTTAAATTTTACTGATGGGTTTGGTTTGTTTGCTTAGAAGGGTTATGGCCTTTGGCTTTTTTTTCTATGTCATGGCTAGAAGCTGTTTGAATGGTAATGTATTTTAGATAGAGAGGTAATTCTTTAACTCATTTAAATTGATAAACTTTTTCTTGAATTATTTTTTTAATAGTGGTCTAGACTAGAGTATGCATCGACAAGGATGTCGATCTTCTCAAAAGAAAGAGTATGTTATGAATGTGATTGTGAGTATCAAAAGTTACTTATTAACGAGTCCTTTCAAATATTTTTTTCTTTCTGCCATAATGGCAGGAGGTCAATACTACTAATTCCTTTTATCAATCCCTCTTGTTCAAGTGTTACTAAACTAGATTTAACATTTATATTTGGCTTGATGAGCATAAGGAAGGAATTTTTAAATATTTATTTAGCCAAAGCATACTTAGCTTGGTATGTTAATTATCTTTTGCTTTGTTTTGTACTGGTTTGTCAAGCATCGAGCACTAGTCCTTTAATATCATTACATAATAGCCTATTGTGTCCACTAAACACCCTCATTATCATGCCCCATATGTTAGTTTTATTTAGTTTTATAAATCATTTATAAAAAGTGTCTAGATTTGCTAATTATGTATTTAAAGATGTGTCTGTTTTTATTTTGTATCCAGCTTAGGTCTAAACCCTAGCTCCATACTATGCTAGCTAGTGGAGTATTTATATCCTTATATTAAACCATTGGTATATTGAAATAGAGTTAAATTTTATTTGGCTTTGTTTTGCATGTTAGTTTTGGTATTGAGATGTTAAATGCTCTAGGAATATTCTAATATCATTCTATGCGCATGTTTTTTGTTTAGTTGTATGCTAAAAAATTGTTCTATGCTCTAGTTCTTTTACTTCTTAGTTATATGCTTAAAAGTTTAACTTCATCCCTTTATTTAATGGCCTAAGGCCTTAAAACTTAGGTTCTGCTCTATTGTCCTTGGCCTTAAGGGTTAAATTTTCCTCTATAGTTATTCAATAGTTAATCACTATAGAATATAAGGTGAAAATTACGTGTGGTTTCATAAGTGAATAATCTTGCATATATTTTGAAATTCAAAATATACCAATAAAGGGCTTGCTTGAAAATATGTCAATGTTAGCTTAAAGTTTCTGAGTTTTTAAACTCAAAAAGTTAGTAAATTACTACACTACAACTATGTACTCAAGTGCATGTTATTCATACTAGCACAAAACTAGTATAAAGCTTTTCTTTGGGTCCTTGGGGCCTTGAGTGCAATGGTTTTATGTAAGTTAGTGAATTGTGTTATAACTATGGTAAGGTATTAACTTTATCAATTTCTTACATCTCTAATCACATATGTAAGATTTTGGCATTGTATTGGTTTGTTAGGCTTAAACATATTGCAAAGCAATAGCATAAGCTTTTCTTTATTGAATTTTTGTTTCTTAGTTTGAGCTTCATAATTATTGTAATGATTGTGTGGGGAGTAATGAGCGTTGCAATATAAAATTTGTATATAAATAAGTAATTGATTTATATATATTCATTTTTAATGTATATGCTAATGTGTTTGTTTTTTATTCTAGATTCTTTTTGTGCACTGGAAATAAGCTACAAAGAAATGACACTTGCAAAAGTAATTGAAGCACTATACTTTACATTAAAGTATATTAAATGCCTCTAAACCACAAAAAATGAGGCACAACTGTGCAACATGAGAGTTGAATGGAGCATGTGTAAAAGAGGAGAGAGAATGCCATAGTTAGAAGATCATAAATTCACACTTAATGACCAAAACAAGAGATAAAAACTTATTAAATTCATAGTTGGCAATTTTGAAATGTCATGCCTAATTATACATGGTATATCCCATATAAAAATATTATAAATATATATTATCACATTTTAATTGTTTTTATAGCAATTAAATGGTGATTGTGTGCATAATATTTTTGCATAGAACTCAAAAATAAAAATAATTTGCTACGTATTGCATGTAGAACACTTGGTTTGCTTAATAATAGTGTTATTCCTACTTATTAATTCAATTTATCAAATAAAAGTTTTTAATTATAAACATGTTTATAATTTATAAACACAAGATTAACCTTATATTAGATGGTAGAATAAAAAAGAATATACTAGAAAGTGTTTAAGAAAGTTTATAAATTATAAACATGTTTATAATTATAAATACAAGATTAATCAAAATGAATAACAACTGTTAAATAAAATATCCTAGAATATTTAAGCATATTCTAGATATATCCACTGCCAAAGCCAACCAAAAATATATATATGCAAAAAGTTCATATGTTTACACTCTATGAGAACCTACCTATGGGAAGAAATATAAAAGGATTAAACATCAAAATAATTAACTTTGATGCAGCAGAGGGATTGTTTTGATGATTATGTCCATTCCGTGTGGACTTGGCGATTGCTCGTGGAAAACATCTGTTAATCAGAGTGTCGTGCAAAAAGGCACCATTCCACTTGTTACTAAATCTTATATCAATCGCATATTATATATAATTTGGTTGCTTCTCGCAGCCTTTTTCTCGGTCGAACGATGACCCGGGACAGATTTTTTATAAACAAATCAAAGAGCAGCCAGGGAGCCATCCGGGATCCCCATTGAAGTCCACAGCATTATTGTCACAGGGCGGGAGGGCTTGTCTGGTCCCTGTGATGTTTGTGGGCGATCATGGTTTGCGCCTTGTGGAGCTTGTCTCCAAACAAAGAACGCAACGAAGCCCATGCCTTGTTTGCAGCGATTCGGAAGGGCGATGTGGATGGCGTGAGGAATGTAGCGGAGCAGCATCCACATCTACTCAATGAAGCTCGGTCCCTGCGCCGTCTAACGCCCTTGCACTTGGCGGCCTCCATTGGTCAGCTCGAGGTATGGTGGACCAAAAAAAATCTCTTTTCAATGGCTCGGTTTCTCTTTTTGATCATAAGGTCTTGATCGCATTGCTCGAGCGAGGCGCCGATGCAGAACCTCTGGATCGATATGGCAAGGTAAGCACGCTCGTGAATCATCTGTGCGTGAGAAGTAAGTGCTCCAAGTCATATTCCAGACACCCTTGATGCTTGCTTGCAAGCAGAAGAAATGGGCTTGTGCCGAGTGGCTTCTCGATCGCGCCGGAGCGAATGTAAGGAACTTACACTCAGGATTGACTTCTAAACGAGTTTTGCTTGCCCTTTTGGTCCATAGATAATCGTATTTGGTTCGTCACGCGGAAGAACATGCTTACACTATGCTGCCAAGGGAGGAAACTCTTCGTGCGTCCAGAAGATCTTGGCAGCAGCCGATTCAAGTACTTGGTACGTTCTAAATCCTTTGAACGTTTTGTTTCCCCGATGGCCAACTTGTATGCTTTCTCCAGGGGTCTGGCGAGATTCCTGAATGCGCAAGACAGGAGCGGGATCACTGCTCTTCACCTGGCCAGCTTGAGCGGCCATGCCGCCGTCGTCCAGGAACTTCTAAGCAACGGAGCGCTGGTCTCCGCAAGAACGATTCCTTATGGCCAGATCAATGAGTAAGTCATCCATTTTTCTGTCTTACAGAAGAGAAAACTTTCGACTTGGTCAGACTTGGTGGTGGAATGTCCCCGCTGCATGCTGCTGCTCGTGGAGGCTCGGTCGAATGCGTGCAAGCGCTCCTCTCATGGGGAGCAGACCGAAGGCATCGTGACAACGAAGGGTGATCGCATCAAACGTAGATCTCTTCTTTCTCATCATCTTTTGCTTCACAGGTTCACTGCTTACGGAGTGGCTAACGAGTACCACAACTTCGCCTGCGCGGCTCTGCTCAATCCCAACGCAGCAGAGCCGCTGGTGTGGCCATCGTCTCTCAAGTTCATCAAGGAGCTGGAGCCGGAGGCCAAGAAGCTGCTCGAGGCGGCTCTACGCGAGGCCAACCGGCGGCACCACCGACAGCACCACCGACCACGAAAACAAAATCAACAAGAGCGAGATCTATCCCAGGCAAGACAAACTTTTCACTGTTATCCCCACGAGTGCGAGTGGTCTCGAGAGACTTTGTTCTCTTTCTTTTTCCTTTGGACGATTGAGTGGATGATCTCCGTCGAGTGAGCGAGTGACACGGCAAGAGAAGCACAGATTAATTCGCTGCTGCTGTGGACAGGAACTCGCTGCTAGTGGGAGCAGCTCCATCAAGGACGAAGACGTGTGCTGCATTTGCTTCGACCACTTGTGCACCATCCAAATCAAGGACTGTGGCCACCAGATGTGTGCAACCTGTGCTCTCAAGCTCTGCTGTCACGGCTCCTCGTCGTCGTCGTCATCACCGCCGCGAGCACTAGCATGTCCGTTTTGTAGGCAGGACATTGCATCGCTCGTGCTGGCTCCATCATCGATATCTCATGGCTGCCGGGACGAGCAGCAGCAGGTTCACCACCAATCGTCGTCGTCGTCGTCCAGGCGATCCAGGAGAGTTAAACCCCTCTCGCCGAGCGTTTCGGTTGTTCTTCGTCAACTTAGTCATGAGGTATGGCGGAATCATGGCACGTTGGTGTGTTTGATCATTCCTTTAATCTTCTTTTCTCCTCGTTGCAGGAGATGGAAGGAGGCGATGCTCCACCACCACCAAACTCGAGTGGATTAAACAAAGGGAAAGAAGTGTCAATCCGGTGGGTGTAGAGCTGAAAGTTTTTGTGCGTGCTGCCAGGCCTAGGAGGTAGAGGAACCGATCGCGAAAGCAAAGATTTTGGAGAGCGTTTGCTCGCGGAGTCGCTGCTGTTGCGTTTGTCCGTGTCGAGCCTTGATTGTCATTCAATGCCCGGCAACGGCCGTGCAGACCCGACGACGGTCTCATGAACTTCTTGCCACTCCCTTAAAAAGCTTTTCTTTCTCTTGCTCTCACTCGTTGCTTCGTCGTCGGGGAGGGGCGACCGGATGGATTGAGCATGAATGAATGGATCCTTCGCTCGTGTCGCATTGCAATGCAGCCCAGGAGCATTTGTTCTTAATTGAGAGTGCTTTCCTCGGAGAGAAAGTACTTTGGATGGAGGAGGGAGCACTCCTCGGCTGGCTATGGCTATAGGGCATCTCTCCAAAGCCCCTACCTTTCTCCCACTTGTAATGAATGCGAGAGGTAAGATTCGATACTAGATAGATAGCTAGACTACTGGAGTCGCGCTGATTCCTAGAGGCACGCTCGCTCTCGTCTCGATGGATCGCGACGAGGAAGAGAGACCGCCGTCTGGATGGCCGCTCGGGCTCGAGCCCGTGCACTTGAGGAAGAGAGTGCTCGACACACTGGTGGACGAAGATCGAGATCCAAGCAGCAACACAATGAGAGGCACCGCCGGCGGCGCCAAGATCTCCACCACCAGCTACTCCGACGAGACCTCCAACTTGGAAACCGAGGTACGCATCAAGACACTGTTTGTGGGTTATCATGATCTCGATCGTGCAGTCGAGCTGCTCCTCCAAGTTCTTCCCGGATGACAAGCCCGTGACGCTGGGCGAGATCCTGGGGATGTCGCTCAACCATCTGGCCACGAGCTCCTTCCGATCCATCGAGCTCCACGTCGCGGAACAACCATCGTCGTCGCGGTCGAGCACTAGATCCTGGTCGAGCCCCTGGAGCCTGATGATGCGATGCAAATGCACCAGGGCGTCGACGGCCTCGAGCAGATTCGAGGACGATATCCCCATGCCCGGCAGGATTTACACGAATTCCATGTTCGAGGAGGATGGCGATCAGCACAGCGACGGCGGCCATGACCGTGATCCGGTCTCCCTTTTGGACCACCTCCGGGGCTCTGCGCTCCACGACATCGCGGAGAATCCACTCTTTCTGCTTGATTACGTAGCAACGAGGCAACAAAGGAGAGCTAGGTAGCATGAGCGAGTGGATTCGGGGTGGACTTCTCCCTCCCAAAAGGTCAAAGCCTTTGGGGTGCATTGGATGTTGACTTTTTGAGCATTGATCTTTCTTGTTTGATTTACACTAAGCTGACTTTTGGATTGATCCTCTTCTAAAAACCGGAGCAAACCCCGGGTCTTTGCCACGAGAAGGTAAAGACTGCACGAAAGATTATAATAAAATCAAGAGGAATGGCTCCAACTCCTTGAGCTCTTGACAAATGTCATGGATCATTCCCAACTTGATTGCACCTTTTCTGTGATTAGCCCCTCTCCTCTGACTCGCTCCAAAAGCTCACCCTTAGCGTCGTCGTGCTGTTCTTCCCCATCAGCTTCCTTGGAAGGATAGAATTACAATCGCATCGTCGCGTCTGTCCCAGTGCAAAGACAATAGGTGCAAAAACACCAAGCCGAATTTATCATCTTGTACTGTGCTTCTTTCCTGAAAGATCCATGTACAAGTTGGTGTGAGCTTTCGTCGCAAGCACAGGGCAGCGTCAAGGCCAAAATGAGGAGAATCCAAATCGAGATCAAATCGGGGTAGCGCACCAAAGATTTCCCAAAATTGACCCATCCCAGGACATACTTATAGGTACTTTTGCTTGTTGTCATGCAATCTCGGTGAAATATTCCAAGCTTTAGCTCTCTTTTAGGAAAGGAAAGCTGGGCTGGCGGAGCATATATCTTGGATAAGCTCACTCATCAACTTACAGGTCGAATACATTTTCTATACAACTGTGTATCCAAAAAAAAAAAGAGGGTGTTGGTGTTGCTGGAAAGTACCACTGGATCCCCCAATATACAATATGAAAATGCCAGAGAAGGGGGATGAATGCCCCTGTGTGTCGCGAATTTTTGTTAAGTGGGATGTGAACGATTGCCCATTTTCGAGCAAAGCATAATCAGCAAGCCCAAACATCAGCGCACACCAACCATACATTTCAAGATTCCAAGCTCACATACATTGAACCCCGGAAGGCACCGGAATATGCCGTGCCGCCGGTGGGTAGCCGCCGGCGGTGGAAATACACACGTGTCCGGGAGGGTTAGCCAGTTGTTATATCCTCTGCCACGTGGATGCGGGTGAGTGGGTGAGGCGTTTGAGCGGTATATATATAATTTTTCTCTCACACCTTCGTTCCATCACTGGAGAGAGCCGAGCCCACAGAAGCGTTTCTTCTCCTCCCAAGTCTCTCCTTTCTTCTTCCTCCTGTCTCTCCAAGAGTCCGAAAATTCTTTGCCTTGTGAATCGATTGCTCTGCTCGCCAAATTGCGCGATCGCCCGCCCGCCCGCCCGCCCACAATCGAGCCGAGCGAGCCCATTCCAATCCAATTGGCCGATCGATCGAGCGCAATCAATCCATCCATCGGGTTTTTTTGTGCTCTCCGCAAAGCTCTCTGCCCGGGAGCTACAGAGGGAGGGATGGTTTTCTTCCTCGTCGCGGCAGCTGCTCTGTACGCGCTTGCATTGACCCTGCTGCTGCCATGGATTTACCAGCGCGTGAGCCTGCGGCGGATCAACCTGCCGCCGGGATCGCTGGGCTGGCCTTTCCTGGGCGAAACACTGAGGCTCTACACGCAGTCTCCCAACGTCTTCTTCGCATCCAGGCACAAGAGGTAAATGTCCTCCCGGGAAAACACCAACGCAAAGAGCGAGAGACCATGATCCAAGAATCAAACCATTACAACACCCAAGCGCTTCTATACTCTGCTCATGCTCTTTCACTCTCCCTCTCGCCAAGCACACACTGTGCTTTTTCGTGCCATTGTTTTCTTGGCCTCTTTCTTCTTTTTTTTTGGTTGGGCGTGACTGACTCCTTCCTCTCGTCCGTGTTCTTGGCGTTTGTTCTTTTCTAGGTATGGTGAGATTTTCAAGACACACATCCTGGGCTGTCCCTCGGTGATGATCGCCAGCCCCGAGGCCGCCAAGTTCATCCTTGTCACGCACGCCCACCTCTTCAAGACCACATTCCCATCGAGCAAGGAGGGGATAATCGGGCCACACGCGCTCTTCTTTCACGATGGTGACTACCACCGCCGGCTCAAGCGCCTCATGCAGAGCTGCTTCTCTCCAGAGGCCATCCGAGGTCTCGTCCCGCACATCGAGGCTGTCTCCCTGGCCGCCCTGGATTTGTGGGAGTCGTCCCAACACCCGATCGACACCTTCCACGAGATGAAGAAGGTAACTCCACCAATTTACTCTCTCTTGCCATTAGCTACCTTGTCAAACTGCTACACCTATCTTTTTGTGATCTTTTGTGCTCACACCATTCATTGCCGGCCGCAGTATGCCTTTGACGTCGGAGTCCACCAGATATTTGGCGGGCAAGAGCGTGGGCTAGATCGAGGGGATCTCAAGCGTGCCTATCAAGCACTGGAGCGAGGATACAATTCATTTCCTATTGACATTGCCGGGACTCCATACAATACAGCCATGAAGGTGCTCTCTCTCTCCTCTCTCTCTCTCTCTCTCTCTCTCTCTCTCTCTCTCTCTCTCTCTCTCTCTGTGTGTGTGTGTGTGTCTGTGGGAAAATACCGTTAGAATATACTCCCGTCGTCCTCGAGCTCCCTTGCGTTGACAATGGTATAGTGCTGTCTACTTGTATGTCATAGTGGGTCTCTAGGAGAGAAGTCGTGCCTAGTGCTTCTTTAGTACTTTAGATTCCCCCTTTATTTCTCTCTAGCTTTGCTTTTTCTCTGACTTTCTGAGGAGTTTTTTTTGTTTCTGGTCCCGTCCAGGCAAGGAAGCACTTGAGCACGGTCGTGAGTCAGATCATCAAGGACAGGAGGCACCGACAAGAAGAGGCCCGCGGACACGATGGGGATTTGCACTACACAGACTTGCTCACCAGGCTCATGGACTCTAAGGACGCCATGAGCGACGAGCAGATCGGGGACAATGTGATTGGAGTTATCTTTGCGGCCCAGGACACCACCGCCAGTGTTCTAACGTGGCTCCTCAAGTACCTCAAGGAGAACCCCGTACTTTTGGACGCTGTCACGGTAAGCAATAGTCAAACGCCTCTTTTCTGTTCCACATTTTTGTGGATCTTCTTTTCTATCGTCTTCTTGTTGTAAGTTGTGTGACGACTAACTAGGCCAACTGGAACTCACTCGACGCTTTGGGCGTTTGTTTTTTTGTTCTTGTCGTCAACTTTTAGGAGCAGTTTTTTTATGTGTATATATCTGGCTGATCGCTCGAGCTGTTGCTTTGCAGGCGGAGCAAGAGCGAATTCGAAGG